GCTGGAAAAGCTTGAAAAGGCATATGAACCCTGATTAGTGAGGTGCCAATTGCCTGCTCTGCTGCCTTCACCACGCGCTGCAGTTTCCTCTTGTCCTCCGCGGTGCAGCGGTTGAACCAGAGTGTGTAGCAGTAGGTCAGAAGACTCTCGATGGTGGAGCAGTAGAGGTTTACTAGCAGTCTCTGAGGTAACTGGGTCTGAGGCAGTTTCCTGAGAAAGTACAGCCTTTGTTGTGCTTTCCCTACCTGGTGGGAAATGTTTGCCGAGATGTGGACTCCGAGGAACTTAAAGCTTTCTACCCTTTCTACCTCCTCCCCACCAATGTAGAGGGTAGAGTGCTCAGATCGCTTTGTTCTTCTGAAGTTGATTACCATCTCCTTGGTCTTGGCTGTGTTCAGATGCAGGTTGTTGTTTTCACACCATTGCTTCAGATGCTGAACCTCTTCTCTGTAGGCTGATTCATTGTTGTTGTCGATCAGTCATATGATCGTGGTGTCATCAGCAAATTTTATAATGATGATACTGGTGTGGATTGGAGAACAGTCATGGGTGAAAAGTGAGTATAAGAGGGGACTGAGGACACACCCCTGTGGGACACCTACATTCAGAATGAAGGTGGAGGCGGTGTGTGCTCCCATTCTGAGTACAAATAGTTCTATTAAAAATACTCCAGTAAAAGCTGAAGTACTGATTCAACTTCTTAAGTAAAAGTGAAAAACTACAGGCATTGAAATGTACTGGAAGTAAGAAAGTAAAAATTAGCTTTTTGGAGTAGGTTTCTATTTCTGTGCAAAGCTAAGTGAACCTTGTGCTATATTAACATAATGATAAATTATATCAGTGATGGGGATACAAACTTTAGACTTTTCAAGACATGTTGAGGAGGTCATTTAGCCATTTAAATCAGCTGTGTTGGATCACGGACACATCTAAAACCTGCAGGACACCAGCCCTTGAGGCCGGTGTTGGACACCCCTGGTTTATGCTGTCTTTTGTCTAGATGGTACAAAGCTGGTATGAAGGTGGAATCTAAGCATCTTCAGCTAAAAATCATTAGAATCTTTGCTACACTTGATGTAACCTAACTCCCACCATGAAACCACAGCCACCGTGTGCCAGTCACACATTGTTCTTTACTTTAAACCCATCAAGGTACAACAAACTAACCAGTTTATCCTTTTATTTAGTATTTTCATGCAGCCTTTAAATAGCAGTCTGTCTACCTTAGTTTGAGTTACAACAAGTTTGCACAATATGAAAAAACATAATGTCACATATACAGATCTGAGTGCGTGTTTAGGATTTTCCACTCTGGCCTGGACCTGCGGTGTTCGCCCCTCTGGGGTGGAGCTTTGGAGACCACGCTTGCCTCGACCATCTGTTCCTCATCACCGATAATCAGCAGGTGTATTTAAGATCAGCATCCCCACCAGTTCTTTGCCAGTTTCTCAAGTACCTTGTGGTGGTAACAGGTCTCACAGTAATTCCTTGTTTTTGGGTTATGTTTACCTTGTTCTCCTCTCATTTCATGCAGTCATGCCATATTTCCATACCACACTTACCTTCCTTGCTCACCTCTGGACAGTGATCTCAAACTAAGGTTTTCTTCCAGTCTTGCACCACACTTCTCAGGATTTGCAACTACTCACCAACTTTGCCTGCCTGTCCTCCTGTCCAATGGCTCCGCTAACAAAATGGAACTTAGGTTGGGTATTGCATTTGCCCGGACATTCATTTGGAAAGACCCCCTTCTCTTAACTCAATCGCGTGCAAACCCAAGTAAGCCACAGTCCACACCAGTATTGCTCTCCCTTGTTCCAAATTGCTCATATCAGTAATCTCCCTCTCCTCTGTTTCAGTGCCTTTGTCCTCTGAGGCTTGCCATTACGCACAGACACTCCCCATGGCAGTTCCTGTGCTCACTGATTCATGTCATTGTAAAGAAAAAAATTGTGTAAAATCCTATTTTGCCTCCATTATTGTGTCTTGCACTTGGGACCACACTGCAATCTGGCCACCTGGCCGTGACACAGGCCAAATAACTGATTTAAAAACATGAGAACTTGCATGGATGCTTCAAATTTCCAGTTTATCAAATACCACTGAGCAGTTCTTATTTTTAAATCTAACTTCTCTTTTTCTGCTACTGTCCTGTCTTTCTTATTCATCTTTCTCCCTCTCTGAGTGAAGTTAGCTCTCTTTCTTTCCCTGTGAAATACAGCAGCTGGAATTTTAGCAACACACTGTGAGACAGACTGCACACAGTTTGTGTGTTTGCTGATGTTTGTTGTGCTGATAGAAATGCTGCATTTGAAATAACCTCCCACTTAAAAAAGTAACCCTCTTTATGCTCACTCCTCTTCAGTAGGGCTAGCTAGATGCTGAACTTACAACTTATGGACACCTGCAGTCATTCCAGTATTGTGGCAAAAACAAACAAACAAACAAAAGAACACAGTCTCACTTTTCACAACTGGCTTTGGTGCACATTATCTCTTTTTATGCAACATCCTATGGTGATAAACAAATGGGAGTGCCATTCATGTTTTACTGTTTAGGCTCCAAACAGTTTGATGTATCAAGACTCACGAAATAACTCGACTGAAATGCGTCATATTAAAAGTAATGAGCCTTTTTTAAAAATGTAAGGATTAGAAAGTACAGACATTTGTTTAAAAATGTAAGGAGTAAAAGTAGTCAGAAAAACTACTCAAGTAAAGTACAGTGTAAAGTACCAGGACCCAACACACCATTCTTCAAGTTTTTATTGATTTTGCACACATAACTTTCAAGGTTCAGCACCCACAACAACCAACTTTTCAGCTGGCTGCACACACCTCACTATAAGAAGGAAAAACCTCATTTGATCATCTCCACCTGTCCCTCCAGCCTCCCTGGCACCGCCCCTTGAGCTCACTGCACTGACCCGTCCTTTCAGCTGCGCCAGAGACCACACCTCCGCCACATACAGATACCTGAAAATTGTACTAAGTACAGTAACTAAGTATTTGTACTTTGTTACGTCTCAAATCTGAAGGCTAGACAGGTTCAGCTGTACCCCGAGCCTATGAAATGAGCCTATGCTTTTGATAAAGCATATAGTTAGAGCTGGACCAGAAGACCCTGAATGCTCCGTTGGTTATGCTGCAATAAGTGTAGGCTGCTGGGGAATTCCCAGGATGCACTGACTACTTCTTCTTCAGTCATCTTTTTTATTTGCTATGTGTTTATACAGCTCTCTGCTTTTAATTATTAGTTGCTATTAACTCCCTAGCTCTCTTCCACAGTGTGTCTTTGTCCAATCTTCCTCTCCCAGCCCCAATCAGTCATAACAGATGGCTGCCCTTCCCCGAGCCTGGTTCTGCTGGAGGCTTTTTCATGTTAAAAGGTAGTTTTTCCTTCCCAATGTCACCAAAGCACTTGGTTATATGGGGTCATATGATTGTTGGAGTTTTTACTGTTTCCTTTGTATTATTATAAGGTCTTTACCTTACAATATAAAGCACCTTGAGATCACTGTTATGATTTGGTGCTACATAAATAAAACTGAATTAAATTGAACTGAATTGAATATAATTGAATTAAAAAGACCTCAATGAGACTTTCACAATGAAAATTGTTGTACATGAATTATATATGCTTTCTCAATGTACATATTGCATGGTGGTGGAACTACAAGAATATTCATTGTGCCTTTATAGCAGATGATAAATGTAAAACTTGATAGTAACAACATACAAAAAGTAAACTCAGTTCTTTTGAGACCTAATTTTTTCACAGTATTGCCTAAGTCTGCCATACAAAAGCAATCTCAACTGAAATGTATTTTAGGCCCTGCCCCTACTCTTTCAATTTCCCTAATGGGTGGTGTGAAAGAATTACCAACACTGCATGCAAATAAAAAGGAATAGCAAAGCAATAAAACCTAATCACTAGGCTCAGGAATCAGGAAGCTGTCATGTGGTCATATTTGCTAACTATTTTTTTCTTACTTATTTTGGTGTATTCCTTTTCTTCTGCTTCATGTTCTTCTCTGTTTCCCTCCTCCTGTCAGTTACTTGGAAAGTTTCATTTGAATGGAATGCACAAGACTGGAGATGTGATTTTAGGAGGACTATTTCAAGTCCACTTTTTTTCAAGCATTCAGGACCTGTCTTTTACCTCACAGTCACAGCAGCCTGTTTGCCATGGGTAAGTCTGGGATGTATATCTGGGGAACAAAAAAAAAGAAGAACAAAAAACAAATAGACAGTGAAATCAATGGAAGGGAAATATGAGTAGTGTAATTTATATCTCTAAATTACACTTAAAAAATACTAATGTTAAAAGATGCACATATCTTGAGTAGTTCATATTCTTTATTTATTTTTTTCATTAAATATTACTATAATTACTTCTATTAAGTTATTTAGTCAGCATTTACAGAATCTTTGTAATATGTTTTCCATGTTTGCTATATTTTTAATAGTAATCTTTCTTGTTTCTTAGTTTTGATGTCTTAGGATTTAGGCAGGCACAAACCATGGCCTTTGCTATTGATGAAATCAACCGAAACTCCAACCTGCTACCTAATTTGACTCTGGGATACACTCTTTATGACAACTGCCTTGAACTTGGAATAGGATTCCGTGCAGCACTGTCATTAGCCAGTGGTCAAGAGGAGAAAATTATATTAAATAATAAATGTGCTGGAAATCCTCCAGTCATAGGGATTGTTGGTGATTCTTCCTCTACACGTTCTATTGCTATCTCCACTGTCTTAGGTTTGTACAGAGTGCCAATGGTAAGTTTTCTACTCATCTATGTAATAGTTCTTCTATTATTTAGATTTTATTGGAAATTTAATGTCACTTGTAAAAACACACTGCAAAAACAACTGACAAAGCTAAAGAAAACAAAGGCTTTTAGTAGTTCTAAAATATTCAGTCTGTATCTTTCACAGGTGAGTTATTTTGCCACATGTTCCTGCCTGAGTGACCGTCAAAAGTATCCATCCTTCTTTAGGACGATCCCAAGTGATGCTTTCCAGGTGAAAATATATCAGAAAAATTAAAATAGAAAGACTAAAGTGATTTTCAAGAAGAAAATTCCCATTTAACAACATAATACATAATGACATAAACATATTAAAATCATATTTTGTGTATATACAGCTATATTCTGTTTTGTTCTTGTATAGAGAACATAGCTAAATTGCTGTCAGTGGTGATGACCAAATACTGATATAAGTAAATGAATTTAATCTATATTCACTTAGGTACGTGCTATTATTCAGATCCTAAAACACTTTGGCTGGAGTTGGGCAGGTCTGCTTATCAGTGATGATGATTATGGACTTCACGCAGCAAGAGCCTTTCAATCTGAGCTGAGTCTGTCAGGTGGAGGTTGCCTGGCCTATGTTGAAGTTTTGCCCTGGGACAAAGACACAGATGAAATAAGGAGGATAGTGGATGTGATTAAAAAATCCACAGCTCGTGTGGTCATTGTCTTTGCACATGAGAGTCATATGATCAATCTTATGGAAGAGGTTTGGATTTTAAAACAATTTTGTTTTTACAAGTTACAAAAATCATGTATAATATCTTTGAACAAGTACAGATAAATAATCCCCTAAAGCTAGTCTAGGAGATAAGCAATTACTTTACTGACATTGTAATGTCATTAATATATCTGCAACTTACAATTTCACTTTATAAATTTGTTGTAATACAAATCACAGGTAGTGGCACACAATTTAACAGGGTTGCAGTGGATGGCCAGTGAAGCCTGGACAGCAGCTGCTGTTCTACAAATACCTCAACTTATGCCATACCTGGGTGGTACACTGGGTATTGCAATTCGTCGAGGAGAAATACAAGGGCTCAGGGAATTCCTGTTACAAGTACGTCCCAATCTACCCCACAGCACTAGCTATGGAAGAAGTATGGTGAGGGAACCCTTTACTGTGTGTACTTGCAAGAATTATATATTTTCATAATATATTTTCATTATTTGTGACAAACTGTTTTAAATATATTTCAGGTTACTCAGTTTTGGGAATTTACATTTCAGTGCAGATTTGCACCACCTCCAACAGGTTGGGTGGAAGGTGGAGGAGCAATATGCACTGGAAAAGAAGATCTAGAAAATGCAGACACTGAATTCTTGGAAATTTCCAACCTCCGGCCTGAGTACAATGTGTACAAAGCTGTTTATGCTCTGGCGTATTCCCTTGATGATATGCTGCAGTGCAAGCCAGGAAGAGGGTCTTTCAGTGGGGACAGCTGTGCCACATTACATACACTGAAACCATGGCAGGTGTGATATCAGTTTACACTCCACCGATGACCTAATTCTTTTACTCTATAATTACTTTCAGAACAGAATTTACACTGCAGGATTCAGTACAATGCCATGAGAAAATCTCTGCTGAAAATAGCTAAATGAATTTTCTGTACTCAGGACTGAAAGTAATGTTTAATGTCTTTAATTAATTAATAATAATAATTAACATATATAACTATACAAAATTTTTAGTGAAGTGACTTGTTTGATTTTGAGTCAGAATGTAATGAGTTCATATATACAAGTATAATAGATCTTATTTTATTATTAAGTAGCAGTTCCACACAAAACTAATGAATTTCATATACATTCCTTTGTAACAGCTTGTTTATCACTTGGAAAAGGTGAACTTCACCACTTCATTTGGTGATCAAGTGTCATTTGATGAGAATGGCGATGCATTACCAATTTACGATGTGATGAACTGGTTGTGGCTCCCTGATGGAAGCACTAAAGTTAAGAATGTGGGTGAGGTAAAGAGGTCAACTTTCAAAGGTGAAGAACTCATACTTGATGAAGACAAAATATTCTGGAATTTTGAATCCAAAAAGGTTATATATAATTTTTGTAGACTTATACTGTACATGTGATAAAAGTAAAATAACATTGTAAGATGTAAGATGTAATTTTTTTTAATGTAGCCACCTCGATCAGTATGTAGTGAGAGCTGTCCTCCTGGTACCCACATGGTGAGAAGGAAGGGGGAACCCATGTGCTGCTTTGATTGCATTCCTTGCTCTGAAGGAAAAATCACTAACACGAACGGTACATATTATTCTTTCTGCATGACATATTTGTTGTTCATAATAATGAAATATTTAATTTCATTATTATGAAAAATAATATGCATTTCACCAATGTTCCCTTTTGTATCAGACTCCTTGGAGTGTACGAGTTGTCCAGAGGATTTTTGGTCAAACCCCAAGCGTGACCACTGTATTCCAAAGCAGACAGAGTTTCTCTCCTACCATGAGCCTCTGGGTATTTGCTTGACAGCAACCTCATTACTGGGCACATTTGTATGTGCTGTTGTTCTAGGGATCTTCATCTACCATCGCAGAACACCCATAGTGCGTGCCAACAATTCAGAACTTAGTTTCCAGCTATTACTGTCACTCAAGTTGTGTTTTCTGTGTTCACTGCTGTTCATTGGGCGACCCAGGCTTTGGACATGCCAACTCAGACATGCAGCATTTGGGATCAGCTTTGTGCTGTGTGTCTCATGCATCCTGGTAAAAACCATGGTTGTTCTGGCTGTTTTCAAAGCCTCCAAGCCAGGAGGGGGAACCAGTCTGAAGTGGTTTGGTGCAATGCAACAGAGAGGAACAGTTTTGTTTCTTACATCTATTCAGGCAGCCATCTGTACTACCTGGCTTGTCTCTTCCTCTCCAACTCCACATAAGAACACCTTATACCACAATGATAAGATCATTTATGAGTGTGCAGTTGGGTCCACTGTTGGTTTTGCAGTGTTATTGGGTTATATTGGCTTGCTGGCTTTCCTCAGTTTTCTAATTGCATTCCTGGTGAGGAATCTCCCCGACAGTTTTAATGAGGCCAAGCTCATCACATTCAGCATGCTGATCTTCTGTGCTGTGTGGGTGGCCTTTGTTCCTGCTTATATCAGTTCACCAGGAAAACTTGCAGATGCAGTGGAGGTATTTGCCATCTTGGCTTCAAGTTTTGGACTCTTGATCACACTGTTTGGACCCAAATGTTACATGATCCTGTTGAGACCAGAGATGAACACAAAGAAAGCTGTTATGGGCCGTGGCATTGAGTCATAAAAAAGTCTATTTCAATAGAAAGAAGAAGTAATTATTTCTTTTTCATGCAGACAGAAAAACAAATAAATAAAATGATACACATAAATAAGATAACATTCCTTTTAAATCTCTGTGCTGATGTTACATGACTGCAAATGTACAAAATTATGTTTTCCAGGCGGCTTTCTTTTTTTTTTTCAACATGTAGTTGAAGTACAAAGTAATCATAGTGAAACTTACATACTTTGCATGTAAGTAATATTGACTCCATGATGTATTGAAATTTAACCTCAATTTAAAGGCACTGATTTTTTACTTTATTTAATAGGGAAAAAAACAATATTGTTCCCATAAATGTACAATAATTAGTGTTCAATTACATCTTCCAACAAATCTCTGTATTCTGAACATTCATGAAATCGAATTAATCCAGTTAAAATATATAAGCACAGGCTCCAGTTTGTGGAAGTCATACTATTGGTATCATCTTGAATACAGTTGACATTGTCTTTCGGCTAGTTGCATTTTATGTATATTGCTAGAGACCAGCACACCAAAGGAGCAGGAGACAATAACTCAAAAATCTCTGGTTAGGATTGAGGCAAATTTTAATTCATATCCATATCTGTGACCAAACAAATTGTATTGATCAATTCGCATTGTTCACTTCAAAGATCCGGCTCTAAGAGCCATTTCGTTCACGACTGACCCATCACTACTCACGATAAGGAGCTGGCTCGCGTCGTTCACGTCAAAGATCCGGCTCTAAGAGCCATTTCGTTCGCGACCGACACATCACTAATACATTCTTTGTGTTTACTCTACATTTACTTCTCTATATTGCATAAATGTCAGTTACAAGCTTAAATGTAAAACAAGTTGAAAAAATGTAATTGCAACCAGGCTATTGATCAAGTAACTGCAATTAATCGCATAATTACAGAAAATTGAAAATTGAGATTAATTAGTTAAATTTTTTTAATCTAATAAAAGCACTAATTATTATTACTAATATAGATTACTAAATATCTACTACATTAAAAATACCTATTCATTGTTAGCTGATAATAACAAGTGGTTGAGAAATTTTTCAAATCACTTCCTTATGAAGACAATAAGGTTGGGCAATTGGACAAATATATCGACTATTGACAAACCGTTACCATTTCTAACAAGAAAATGCGGTGCGGTCGCGTTACTATTTTTCAACAAACAGACGGCTGAAGCTGTGTTCAGCTTACCGCATCTTATGTCTGTTGGACGGAAGGAGCTGTAAGTAATCTGGGCGCTACAGCTTTAAGCACCTTCACACTCTCCCGTGGGTGGCAATCAGCTAGAGCTAAGGGGGCAAAACAATCGCATGAGTGCTACAGTTTGGCTGAGGAAGAATATAGCAGTCATGGTAAGCCAATCACATGACCACTTTAAGATGACAAAGCAACAAGGTGATATATACCAGTTTTTAAATTGTGTTGATAGGCCACATAAAACCAGAGTCATGATAAACAATATATATGTGGTGTTTTTCCTGAATAGTTTCGCCACGTTTACTGTCTAAGGACAGAGCTAGCAAGCACTCTCTGCTTATGACCAAAAAAAACAAAACAAAAAACAGCCCGTTCATTTTGGTGAAAGATGTACCATGTCAGCCAATATAAAAAATGATATGGCAACATAACATTTGGTTGTTTAGGAAGAGGGGGAAGTTTTAGGAGTGACAGTGAGAGAGAGAGAGAAAGAAAGACCGCAGAAAAGAGTTTTGAGATGTGAGAGATTTGTGACGTCTAGCATGTTTGGAGTGTGTTGTCTGTGTTGTCTTGTGTAGTTAATGTGTGGTGTTGTAGATAGTTTTGTGTTGTGTGCCAGAACAATGAGGCGACTGCTGAATGAAAACAGGATGAGTGATACACCTGCTGCTGTTAGACCTGCAGGTATCAGGCTTGTTATTATCCTTTATAGTAGACAGAAATTAGTTTTTTGGAGTGGCACAAATAATTTGTGTGGCATCTTATTGAATGCAGAACACCTGATTGCTATGTAAATAGTTTGAAATGTTTTTTTTTTTTTTTTAAAAAAGGATAAAAGGTAAATGGCTGCAAATAACTTTGTTGTTTGCAAAACTTGTGCATAGGTTTTTAAATTGACAATTTATATTTACATTTAAAATTATGAAATATGATTCAATAAGCATGTTTGTGGTTGTTACAGTAAAAAAATATAACTTTCTACTCAGATTTTATGTTTTTTGTCTGATTTTAGATCAATTGTGTTAATACAGTATGTCAAAATGACAACATAACTGTAAATTCAGACACGGGAGGTTGTGCTGAAAAGAATGATACCAAACAAGGCAAACAAGTAAATAATTTTTAAAGGTGAAATGTAGAGGTAAAATCAAAAGTAGTGAAAAATGGCCAAGTATACCCTGGACCCCAGAGGGTTAAACATTTTTTTTAAGGTAACACAATAGTTACTTTTCAAATAATTAATTACTTCTAGAATATTGTAACTCAGTTACTAACTCAGTTACCTTTTTGAAGAAGTAACTAGTAACTATAATTAATTACTTTTTCAAATAACTTGCCCAACACTGCCCATGAGTAAATTTGCTAATAATGTTGGTTGAAGCTACAGAAAAATTATAGCTCTGTTTTAACGGCACCCTCTTCAGAGTGCAAATGCAGTGATTCATCTACTCAAACCCATAACAGAAAGAAAGAAAGACAGTAGCCTATGTTCAGAAAAAAACAAAAACATTGTATTTAAATTAAAAAAAAGACAATGGTATGGAGGGAAACAAAGAGAAACTGGCTTCTTTTTTCCACTATGATATAT